TCTTTACAAATCCTACCATGTGAATTCATGGATTTTTTTTTCACATTCTGTCTCTCACAGTTGAAGTGTACCTCTGGTGCAAATTACTGACCTATGTCATCATTTTAAGTGGGGGAACTTGCACAATCGGTGGCTGACTAAATACTTTTTTGCCCCACTGTATATAAAAAGGTAGGTTTTCAGTTCTATTTGACTTAAACCCAGCTGCATGTGGAATCCATAGCAACGGAGGGTCAAGACTAAACATTTATGTGTATTCAGCTGAGCTAATCGTCGCTGTAGAGGTCGGCAAATACAAGAGAATGAAGTAACACGTGTTAGACGAAGGAGATGAAGCACATGTGAAAACGTTTTTTCTTTTTTTAATTCAGTGTAAAGGCTACATGCTTTCATAGCTGGAGGATGTCGAGACAAACTTTTAAAAAACACTGCAAAATATCCATTGTTCATTTTGTGTTTATATTATTGTCTTTTGACGATACCACATTGAGCCCCTGCATGTGTAAAAGAGACGCAGATGTGAAATCCCTGAACCCAGAACACAACTGTAACAGAATCCATATTTATTGAAGAACTCAATACTGACACATGACAGACATGCATTTCCTGTTTCACAGTCACACAGGAGGAAGCAGGTAAAACTGAGCCTGAATGTCTTCTTTGGGGTTCATAAAGTGGTTAAAGCTGAGGAAACAACACACAGTCTGTAATTAAAGAAAACTAAATAAAATAAAATGAAACACAAGCAAACTGGAAACAACTTCACACAGAGAAACAAAATGAAGCATGCTACTAAGAGTCAAACACTACAAAAAGCTACAGCAAAGAGTAGTAACTGATTCATTTTAAAGTGTATTTAACATATTCATCAGTTATTTTGTCCTGCTGGGGGAAAGTGTTTACAGATGTAAACAATTTTTATCAGCTTTGCTACATTTCTTTGTGTTTTTTCATCTTTTCATTGATACACAAACAAGCAGATCCAAAATGCAGTAACACAATTATATAATTATACTCACACACTTTAAGTGTAAGGAAAGGAAATCTTAGTTGGAAGATAAATACATATTAAAAACAACTCAAGGTGCTTCGAGAGTTCTGATGTCAGAAAAGCAGAAGAGTTTTTCAAATGCAGACTTGAAACCAGCAACACGTCAGCTTACGCTGGATTGCACCTCAGTGGCTTAACAACAGCACGAGGTAGCGAAATAAGATGACAGCAGAGCATCTGACACATGAATCGGGTCCAGTCGGGGATGTGCTGAACCCATCCGAACACCCTTACATCACATGCTTAGATTTGAAATACAATATTCTGATGCACACAAAAGTGTAAAAGAACTGTAAAATCCTCTGAATGAATAATAGATTATTTTATTTTTGCCACAGATTTTGTTGTACTTGAGTTTCTTAATGGCACAGCTAAAGCAACAATAACTACTGTTTGGGTTTTACAATAAACAGAGCAACAGCTCCTGCCTTTGCTGCTCATTATTTGTGTGTGCGTGCATCCCACTGACCTGTTGACTGCACTGAGTATTTTAGAATTCAGTGACTGATTGAAAGTGGTTGCAGCAACTAAATGCTAACCCAGAGCATAAACACGGGTGCACAGGTCACCATGTGGGAGACAAACTGTGTCCAAAGCAGTCACTCCAAAGCGAGCACAACACATTCACGTCATATCTCTTTGCAATAAGGGGCTCAAGTCAGCTGGTTGCCAACTGGTTGTATTCTTGTTATGTACCTAAATAAAAGCAAGGTAGCAGAGTTAATGTCATTCTGTAGTTAAATCACAGCCCTACGTCAGTATTTGTGGAGGAACTTTCTGTTTCCTATTTGTGAGACTCTGACTTTCAGCACTTTCTGTGAATTTCTGACCGCAACATATTTGTGATTTCTCATAGCGAATCTCTGCATTATCACAAATGATCACAAACAGATTGTATGTACCCCATCGAGTTGCAGACTGACGCCTCTTATTGCCGTTTTATCGTGTTTTGTTTTCATCAAGCTTGGAATACAGATCACAACAACTCACTGACGAGTAGTTACACTATATCTTCAAAAGGCAACAAGATTTCAAGGTCACAATACTTTTAGTTGCACTGCTGTGTCCAGCCACCGTTTACCATAGTGTGACTCCAGTGTCAGTGCTTGGTGTTTCTTTGGAATACCAACCAGGTATAAAGGAACTGGAAGTAACGGATTTCATGTGCAATGTAAGACTTTCAACTCTTTTTTTAAATAATGTAAAACATTTTTCTTTGCCTGAATCACAGTTGCTACTTTTTTTAATCACAGCAAATTGTTAAAAAAAAAAAAAAAAAAAAACCCCGCACACAAAATAATAGGATTTTCCCAAATACAAACTTGCTTGGTGTTACTTCATGAAGTGTCCAAACCTGAAAGCCTCTCCATCTTCTGGTTGAGTTTTTCTTCCTCCCTGGCTTCACTATCACGCTATCTTCTTTCAAATGTCAATTTCACACACAGCACAGAGTACAAATC